CGGATCGCCGCCCCCCTGGAGCCGGGATCTGCCCGGATCCCTCCATGCCAAGTGCAGGAGGAACCGCAGGACGCGGCCCGGCATTCCCGGGGCCGGGGACGGCGTTTCCTGAGGATGTTTGGCCCGGCCGAGCCCCACCGAGCGCTGGTTCTTGTGACGAGATCCATCACCTCCGGTCACGCTGCCGTGAGGGCTCCCGCAGGAGCAACTGACGGGAAATGGGAGGCATACGCTCCTCGTGCTTCCAAATTAGAGAGAAAAGTTAATAATGGCAGAGAAGCTCTCCAGTCTATTAGCGGGAAACAGGGTGATTTATATCCGGCGCCGGAGGCGGTTAAGCAGCCCTCATCCATTCCGATTAGGAACGGCTCCGCGCGCGGTCACAAGATGCACAGGCTGCGAAATGGATGTGGAAGGGGAGCCGGGAGCGATTCGGGATGGGGACAAGGAGACGGGGAGGCTCAGCTGCAAGGCCAGGACACCAAGGTCTCGCCACCAACGGGCTCCATGGCCCGGTGGTGGCCCCAGTGGCACGCGGGGAGGGCTCTGACCCGCTCCAGCCCTTCGGGATGGCCACACGGAGCCGCTCCGGGTGACACCAGCCCCGCGGTTCGTCCCTTGCTCCCAGGAAAGGGATAGACCTCCTGGATCTTCCCCAAAAGGGCAGTGCCACCCAAAGCAGCCCCGTTTGGCGCTGCCGTCCCGTCCCTCAGCTCCCACGCGCTGCGATGCCACGAACAGCCCCTCCAGCTGCCTGCAGCTTTTGGTGGTAAATGTGACCCATCCATCACATTCGTATCCCCCCAGCAATTGGATTCTCCGTGTTCTTCATCCCAGGGATTGGTCTGGCCATGGCGCCACGCGCTCAGGCTTGGTTTGTGCCATGGGCCCCCCTGGACCACCCGGCATCGTTATTAACGAGCCCCGTTTGGCCACCCCGGCTCCCAAAACGCCTCTCCGGGTAGGAAACCCCAAGGGACACGGCGGAGTTTTGTGCTCTCTGTCCCCATGGCCATTCCCAGATGGAAATCCGCCCCCTTCCCAACCAGCTCGGGGCTCCCACGGGCAGCGCGTTGCCCAGGGGGGCCTGGATGGCCCTTCCCGGCTCCGTTGGGCCCCGCTGCCCGCGGAGGAGGATCCGCAGGGGCTGCCGGGACCCTCCGTCTCCGGACGCGCCGGCTTTGCCGTGGATTCTTCTGCCACCTGCTGCCCGGAGCTTTGTTTTCCCGGCTCCGTCCGCCGGCCTCGCTGTGCTGGGAGCTGCAGGGATCTGCCTGGGAAGTCCCCGTGGGGCTCCGGCCACCGGCCCCATTGCAGGGACAGGAATGAGAGATGCCAGCGCCACCGACGTCCCCCGTGGTCAGCACCGGGGCTGGATCCCCTTGAGCTCTCCAGGCCTTCCCGGTGCTGCCGCTGCCTTGCAAGGCCCAAATCCAGGGCGACTGACACCGAGGGAGCCTGCGGATGCCCCTGGGAGCCGGGAGACCTGCCCACGCTCCTGCCTTGGTGCATGAAGGAAGGGGAGCAGCAGATTCCCCTTCCTTCTCCAAGAGCATCTCAGCCTGGCCGGGCTCGGAGCAGGATGCTCTTCCCAGGGGATTTGCCCCGGGAAAGGGGTGAGAGGAGGTAGAAACCTCACCCTGAGGGTGTCCTTGGCTGCCAGCGGCCGGGCACAAACCCAGGGCACCGCGCCAAGGGGGAGCCTCATGCAGACCGGGGGGAAAGGGCCTTCCAGCACCGCGTGATGCCGTGAAATCGCCCTCCTCGGCCGTGCCAGGCTGCTGGGAACGGGATTGGAGGGGGCATCTCCCCTCCCCGGCGCCCAGCGGATAAACGGGGCAGGCGCCGCCCGGCTCCCGTTGCCGCTGCCGTCCCCAGGCACCGCGCGCGGCCCCCGGCACCCGGCGCCATGGGGAAGCTGCAGCTCTGGCTCCTCGTCCTCGCTGCTCTCTCCGGGATCACGGCCCAGGAAGGTAGGGGATGTTCCCGGGGGTCCCGAGCGTGTGCGCAGGATACGGAGCACAAAGCTGGAAATCAGAGCGGGAGCACGGAGGGCTCCGTGGATGCTTCCAGCCGTTCCCAATGGCCATCCCGCAGGGCTGCCACCCTGTGCCGCGTGCTCCAGGTGACCCTGCTGGAGCAGGGGGTCGAACTGGATGATCCCTAGAGGTCCCTTCCAACCTCAAGCACTCTGTGATCCAGCGTGTGACTGCGCCCGCGGCCGGGGCGCTTTGGGCAGGAGGGGGTTTGGATCCCATCGGTGCCCCTGGGTCACAGGCTGCAGCGTTGAGGGCATCTCCTGGGGTGCTGCATGGGGGGACGCCAGGGCCCAGCGAGGCTGCTCTCACCCAGAGACACCCCAACGTGTCCCATGGGGGCAAGAGTGGGACAGGCAGAGTGGGCGCTGGGCACCCCGAGGCGCCAGGGGACACAGGAAGGTTGGGAGAGGGTGAAGGGAGCCGCACGACGCTGCGTCCACGCGTTGCTCCCGCCGCGTCCCCCCTGTCCCCTCGCAGACCTGTACCGAAAGGTGTTCGTGTTCCGGAAGGACCCCAGCGATGCCTACGTGCTCCTCAAGGCGCAGGCGGAGCGGCCGCTGCAGAACTTCACCGTGTGCCTGAGGTCCTACACGGACCTCACGCGGCCCTACAGCCTCTTCTCCTACGCCACCAAGGCGCAGGACAACGAAATCCTCCTCTTCAAGCCCAAGCCGGGCGAGTACCGGCTCTACGTGGGGGGCAAGTTTGTCACCTTCCGCACCCCCGAGGGCCGCTGGGACTGGGAACACGTCTGTGCCAGCTGGGAATCGGCCACCGGCCTCACCGAGTTCCGGTTCAACGGGAAGCCCTGGCCGCGCAAGGGGCTGCAGAAGGGCTACACGGTGGGCGCCGAGGCCGTGATCCTGCTGGGGCAGGAGCAGGACGGCTACGGCGGCGGCTTCGACCCGTACAACTCGTTCACGGGGGAGCTGGCCGACGTGCACATGTGGGACGCGGGGCTCTCGCCCGACAAGATGAGAGCCGCCTACCAGTCCCTGCGGCTGGCGCCCG